TTGTATATTTTGAAAAAGCTTCCAAACATGCAGTTAGCAAATGCCTGCATTATGTCCTTTTACAAAGTTAACGTCACTCATATGATTTGTAAAATAAAGCCACTGACGCACTTGTGTATGCATCTGAAAACTGACAATAAAACAAATATAATAAATATGCTCTGAAATACATGGCCATTTGGATATGAGAAATCAAAACATTGCAAGATCTCTAATACATTACCACATGTTTAATTTAACCATTTACAATCTGTGAGGAGAATGAAGACATTACGAGCAACAACAGGGTGGGAGGAGATGACAGGAACCATTTCTCTATCTTCATGGTGGTCTGGACAGTCAATCAGCCTCCCACAGGTCCACTGATAGCCACTGCCAGCCTGGGCATGACTTTGAGCACATATGAAAAAATCTGTGAAAGAAAATAGACTTTTTACACAATCTCGTCGTCTGGATTCGAACTCACCTGAGCAATAAGTAACATGTACGCTGCCAGCTCTCTGCATTACCTGCGAGCTAATAGAACAATCACAGATTCCTGGCTTCCAATCATGTATTGATTAAGCACGTCAACATCCAGGTAACACTTTGTCTGGGCTGATCTAAAACGTGCGTCTGGCAGACACTGTTGTCTCTTTTAAAAAGGATCTGAAAACATGTCTATTTAAGAAGGCTTTTGGTTGATGGGTTTTCACTAGTGTCATTTTAATTTTATATATTTATATACATTTTATACTATTTGTTTTTATTTACTCTTTTGTACAGTACTTTGTGATTTTATCTGAGAAAAGCGCTTTATAAATAAACTGTATTTACTTACTTAGTTACTAAATGACTGATTTGGCCTACTTATGAAACAACACACAGATGAGTTTTATTTAAACACACTTTTATTGCAATCTCCATCTGCTGTCTCTGACAATCTGAAAGCATTTGTTTATTTGTTGTATGGTGATTTCTTTTATGGTGATGTATTGATAAGACGTTTAGAATGGTAAACACTGGTCAGTCCAACAGCAGGACCCTCCTGCCCGGCGGCTCACGGAGACCGCTGTCAGCCCCCCCATGGTCGGCGTCCCGGCCCCTTAGGGGTGGCCCCCCATGTCCCCAACCCGCGTCGGCGGCAGGGACAGCAGAGAGGCCTCACGTTATGGCCACCAGGGCACCTCATCAGAAGGCCCGACCACTTTCAGAGTGATACTCTAAATGGCTCTTTTCCTGTTCTATGGACAGGTGGCTGAACAGCCTGGCCCGCAATGGTAACTGGATGCAGTTCCCCCCACCTTTCGCCTGGATAGAGGAAAGTTCTCTCCTCTCCGGCTCAGATCGCCGCCCCCAGGAGCTCCTAGAGAAGCAGGCTATCTCCAGAGTACCTCTGGGGGAGGAAAACCGGGGGTTCTACTACCGATGTTTCCTGGTCAGGAAAAAGACGTGGGTGATGAGACCCATCCTGGATCTGTCACTATTCAACAAAGCGATTATGGACAGACCAATTCGCATGTTGACGGTGAAGCAGGTGCTGGAGTGTGTGTGCCAGAGGGGACTGGCTGACCTCTATATACCTGAAGGACGCATTTTTTCACGTTCTCGTCATCCCAGCACACAGGAACTTCCTGCGCTTCTCTTTCCGGGGCCTCCAGCATCCGCACAACCGCCTACCGTTCGGTTACTCTCTGGCCCCATGCGCCTTCTCCAAGTGCGTCGAGACAGCCTTGGAGCCGCTGCAGGGGGAGAGAATCATAGTCCTGTTTTACCTGGATGACCTGCTGCTGCTGGCACGGTCCCGAAACGAGGCGTTGGTGCAGACAGCCAGTTCTATCTCACACAGGCGCCTCTACTGGACTCTATGGGTACTACCTCCTCCAATCACACACACGCACTTGCCCACTGAAATTTTATCGTGCACGTAGCTGACCAATAGGACGGCGCTACCGATACGTGCATGACGTATAAATACGTGAGGCCCGTGCGTCCACTTAGCTAGCCTGACCGCCGAGTCCGCACGGCCCTAATGGTCCGCTTCCACGACGTGACAGCCGAGAAACGAGCTGTTCTTACCGTGGAAACTGGACAATGCAGCAGTGTACTGTAACTCTGCATTCCCAGCACGCCCACGAGGACTCGCACGGGCGCGTTGCTAGCTCATCGACGCTAAGCTAATGGTTCACCCCGCGACCCACGCCGCCCTTCGGCTCGGTGTGTAACATGCTTCAGTCTCCACAAAACTGCATGTTCACGGATGCTAAGCAAATGATCCGACCTACAGCCCACACTGCTCTCCTTGCTAAGCTCGAGAGACACAGTGGGAGGGCCCGGGTCTTTGCTGCGCTATTCAAACCACTGAACAGAAGCCCGTGTCCAACGTCACTCTCCTGTTGGCATCCGAGCGAAACGGTAGTAGGACCTGGGCTTCCTCCTCGCTAGCCGGCTGTCTGGCCCGCGCAACGGTTCGCCTACATCTCCTGGCAGCCGAATGAAGGGCTGCTGCCATGGTGGTGCGTTCCCCGTGCACTCACGACAGTGTCCACGGGAACACTGCTAGCTCACTGACAGTGTGTGTGTTCCTAAAACACACAACCACATCGTCGACATATGCTCAACCGCAAAGCGCAGCGTTTAGCTGACTAGCTGCGACGGCATGAGTCAAACTAATGCTAATCAAGGTCAGATATAGCCGGAGAGACGCAACCAGACAACACATCTCTTCCAGCGGTGCGGCCTGTGGCACTTTATCTCAGGAAAATGCTGGAGCCACTGCAGCCCGGCAACTGGTTCACCGCCATTGACCTGAAAGATGCCTATTTTATGTCGAGCTGATACAGTAACAGGGAATTTCTAGGCTTCTCCTCTCAGGGGGTAGCCTACAAATACATTAGGCTTCCCTATCTGTGCGCATCGCTTGGTGGTCCACAGGCTGCAGCAGGGGACAGCTGCAGCAGCGCTGTCAGCGATGCTGCTGTTGGGCCTCAGGGCAGTAGTCCATCAGGTGCTCCCTCTGGGCTTGCTGCACATGCGACGGCTACAATGTTGGTTTACAAGCCTGCATCTGGACCTAAAGAGGCAAAGGTGATGCATGGTAACCCCCCACTCCCACCCTTTCAACTAGTGGAGCAGGAGGACCTGCGGTTCTGGGGGTCTCTCACTGTCTGGCAGCGCGGGTGCTGCTCGGCAGGGTGTCTTCATCCGTGTCAGTCTTCATAGATGAGTCTCTCACTGGATGGGAGGGACCTGCCAGGGGAGTGCAGAGTGCACCAGAGTGTTGTGGCTCCCCGTTGTCTATCGGACATATCTGCATGGATGAAGGCTTGCCACCTTCAACTAAACCTCTCTAAGACTGAACTCTTGGTCATTCCAGCCAAGCAATCTATCCACCATAACATCAAACTACAAATTGACTCCACAACCATCACTCCAACCAAGGTGGTGAAAAACTGATTGATGACCAGCTGTCCTTTTCAGACCATGTTGCTGCTTTCTCTCGGTCATGCCGCTTTGCTCTATACAACATAAAGAAAATCAGGCCCTACCTCACTCAGTACGCCACCCAGCTTCTGGTACAGGCCATGGTTATCTCTCGCATCGACTATTGCAATGCCCTCCTAGCAGGTCTTCCAGCTTGTGCGGTGAAAGCCTTACAAATGGTTCAGAACACAGCAGCGCGTCTGGTTTTTGATCAGCCCAAAAGGACTCATGTCATTCCATTACTCAGTGACCTCCACTGGCTCCCCGTGGCCTCCAGAATCAAATTCAAGTCACTAATGCTTGCATACAGAGTGACTACTGGTTCTGCACCCATCTACCTAAACTCCATAATACAAACTTACGTTCCTTCTCGGCCGCTACGCTCCTGCAACGAACGCCGCCTGGCTCTGCCATCCCTTCACACAAAGCAATCCCAGTCCCAGCTATTCTCATCTGTGACACCACGATGGTGGAAAGAGCTACCACACGCCATCAGAGCAGGGGCGTCCCTCTCTAACTTCAAGAAGCTCTAGAAAACTCATCTCTTCTGAGAACACTTCCTCTTATAACACCTCTAACTCCTAACCTCTAACATGCACTTCCTGTGCTCTTCTTCTTTTATCCCCTACAATGATCTTGTATTGATTTCACTTTTTGTTTTGATTGCACTTTTTGTTAACTCTTCCTTCCTTCCCTAGGTATTTACCCCATTGATGTGATATGTACTATGAGCTCTCACTAGTATTTATTGCTGCTCTTACTAGTATGTATTGTCAGTTGTAGATCTGTAGTTGATGCTCTGTTGATGCTTGTATGTTGTTCCTCAAATGTAAGTCGCTTTGGATAAAAGCGTCTGCCAAATGAGTAAATGTAAATGTAAATGTAAAAATATACAACAACAGCGCAGACATGGTGCCCCACCTTCTGCCGGAGTGCCAGGAGTACCTTGGTGTACTTGTGGTAACTGTAGGGAAATGCTGTGGCCAGGAGCAAGTGAACTGTGTGTGCCTACTGCCACACTTCTCCCAGTACTGCCTTGAAGAAGGCTTTATTCGCATTCACAGGCAGTACCGGGAGGAAATTACGGCATTAGGCAACATCAAGGAGCCTGGGGATGACAACAGGGAGTCCCGCTATGGTGCCTATAGACACTTTATCTATTGGCAACATGGAGCTTTAGGCCAGAGAAACCAACTTGTCGTCCCTAGTTGTTGTGTTTGGAGGATCAGAGACAAGTTCCCTGATCCTCAAGGACACTCCACAGGTTTTATTCCTGGAATGTAAATTTCCTTCCAGGCCCTCTGGCATGGTCATACAGTTTCACACAAATACTCACAAACCTGCCTCAGCATCATCAAGGCATCAAACAAATGTACATAGTTAACGTTTGAATTATTATTATTACATTTCTATATATACAGTATTTATTCATATTTCTCCCCTCTTTATTTAAATTTGATGTATGTTGTATAGTTAGATATTGTGTTATAGTTGTTCAACTGCAGTTCTATGGTATCGAAAAAATAAAAGGTAAGAAATAGAAGCACATGGTGTTTTTATTTTCATTATATACATTTGTACATGTGTTTAGAATTTCAAACTTTGCCATAACATTTCCAATACCAATTTTAGTTATTTATATTTACATAATAGGGGACAGCTGTAGCCTTACTTATCATTACGTTCAAATTGTAAACTGTAATTTAGGCTACCTACTGAAAATAATATGCGCTGGTCACAGTGGACTTAGCAGAATAAGATGAAACGTGTACAAAATGGAATAACATGAAATAACCACTGGAGGAGGGTAGGAACAGAATTTAATGTTAATAAATTTCTCTTTTTGAAGAGTAAAACCTATGACTTTGTCAGTGAACTGAAGTTCTTTCCCTTGTGATGCTGCCTGACAAGTACCAGGACACATGCAAGGTGATCTCCTATGGGGATCCTTCCACATCAGATGCTGGTTGGAATAACGGTCCTTTTTAAGACAGTGCCATCAAACATAGTTACAGACTATATTGTAATGTAAATATCATTCAGTGACATGTAATGTGGTACAACATAGGCAACAAATTTGTGTAACTTACCTAGACCTCTTCTGACTTGTCTCTGCTACAAGTCTGATGTGGCTGGTGCAGGTACGGGGGGCACCAAACCAAGCTGTCTGGGATCATCTGGGAGAAGGCTCCTCCTTCTAGGCATCCCCACTCCACTTGTGAGTCTGTTCTTCACAATCCTTCTTTGCAACTCGGAAATGTATCCGTAGGTTTTTTCAGATTTCAAGGCATATACGCTGTATCTTCTACCGTTCTTCTTATACAATGTTTTGAAACTGAAATTACACAAATTACATCCATTTAATATCAGTTTGTAAGTAGAACAAGAGAAAACCTTGAGTGTAAAGACAATCAATTGCATATAAAACATTGGCTGAATATTGTACTATGAATGGGAATATTATATAAGTGTAAAACGTACATCTCTTTGCCGTCCAACGTTTTCATTGTTGGTCAGTTCCGGTGGAAATTGTAGTCCAAAGCAGCAAGTAGAACTCTTGCCTCATAAACTGGGGGCTGAAAGTATAACACTTGCTGGCATACATCAGGATATGATTCTGGAATGACTCTAGGTCTGCAGTCGATCTGATAGAACCAACAAATACATACTTCTGTGTACATGAGCAGTAAGCATAAATATTACTAATATACATCAGTGTGAAAAAGTATAGCCACACAACCTGATATAGCCAACTGCCCACGTGTGTCGGCAGTCTTGCAACACCACCGAAAATGGTTGACTATGTCCTTCAGCCAGTTGAAGAGGATGGACTCTCCTTTTATCTTTGCTGCCTTGAAAAGAGAAAAATAAATATTACTGTAAAATACAGGCATTCAACTATAGTCTGTGTGTAGAGGTGAAAGTGTAAATGTTCAAACCCCCCCCCCCCAAAAAAGAAAACACTAAATGACTACACCAAATGTCTAGAATGAGTAACACACCTTCTGGCAGAGGAAAGTAAACAAAATCTGTTGTCTTTGAGTGCAATGAAAACTTCTATACTGTCATCCATCAACTGCACATAGTTCAATAACCCTGATGTACAGAATAGTAAATTTAAGGTTAATAAATGTTTCACAACATCAGCCAGTTATTACACTTACTGCTGCTATTTGTTTGGCAAGGTTCTTCGCACCATGCCACATGTCCAGACTGTGATGAATTCTAAGGGCCTTGTATTTGCCTTTGTCTGGGTCTATGAAGTGGTAAATAATGTCATGTTACTATAACATTTATATTGCTGTTATACACATGCATCTATACAATATATCACATGAATACTTACTCATAAGGGCACCAATCTGGGCATGAGCATCTGTGCAGATCTCCACTAGCTTTATCTCTGATGTAAGCTTGTCCAGTCTGGATGAAACCCTCCTTCTCCAAGACGACAGAGTTCCATGATGTTTGCCACTTGTCTATGGTGGCAACATGAATGATGATGATGAATGAAATTTTTAAAGATATAATTCAACAGAAAAACAGTAATTAGTTGTTTCCATACTGTCACTGCTTAGTGTATTCAATAGCTATGTTACATAATACAGTATCAACTACACACCTAGGACAACAAGATCTTTCCCTTGAAGGCGACAAAAACCCTCTGTCCTTCTCTCTTCCCAGAAGTCCTTTATTGTATTGACGCAGTAAGTGTCCTGAATGGAGAAGAAGGTGTTCCTGTTTACCATCACCATGTTCATGAATTTGAACAAGAGGGCAACCTTTGCGTAGTTATTGCCAGACAACAAAATGTTGGTGGACAAGAGCAAATCTCCAGCTTGCATCCCAAACTTCATCACAGGCTGGGAATTCCACCTCCACAAGTTGTGTCCATTATATCTAAAAGTCCCACAGAAGAAACATTTGCTTTTGTCATGTACAGGTATAACCAAAATACTAATTTAAAGTTGTGATATTCTGTGATTGTCTGGACTTACCCATTCGATAGTAGCTGCTGTGCCCTTGGTGGTGATGTTGATCTCAAAGGTTGTAACAGAGTTGCCCAGTGCACCAGTCCTCAGAAGGCCAGTGCATTTATCCACAGGCAGGATCAGAAATGTAGCCAGTTGTCTTAAGCAGTTCTCGTACACTATGGAGGCTCTGACACCTATGATGTCATCTTCATAAAGGACATTCTGTGGTTCTTGGAAAACAGGGTCATGATCACAGGGAGAAGGCTCATCAGGAGGGTCTTCATGTGCAGGCAAGGAAGTCCATCGATAGAGTGTACTTTCTTCAGTGCTCCACCCATTCTATTGAGGCACAAAAATCTGTAATAAACAGACACCACAAAACAATTGCAAATTGAGACTGACAAATAAAACACCGTATAGAAATCGGTGGAAGATCCTCTTCATCAGAGCTGAAACCATTCTGTCCATCATCTCTTTCAAGGGAGTAAGGGGAAGCTTCATCTGCCTAATCAATTCTGTACATAATGACAACTTTCAGATAAAAACAAGTTCTCAAATAATATCACTGAAAAATAATACATGTAATTAGGAAGTACTACTTACACACTGTTCATTGGGTCATTGAAAACATTTTCCTCCAAGTCCTCCTCAACAATGCTCATGTCATGTAAGCTGCAAAAAACATATTACAAATATACACTCACCTAAAGGATTATTAGGAACACCTGTTCAATTTCTCATTAATTCAATTATCTAATCAACCAATCACATGGCAGTTGCTTCAATGCATTTAGGGGTGTGGTCCTGGACAATCTCCTGAACTCCAAACTGAATGTCAGAATGGGAAAGAAAGGTGATTTAAGCAATTTTGAGCGTGACATGGTTGTTGGTGCCAGACGGGCCGGTCTGAGTATTTCACAATCTGCTCAGTTACTGGGATTTTCACGCACAACCATTTCTAGGGTTTACAAAGAATGGTATGAAAAGGGAAAAACATCCAGTATGCGGCAGTCCTGTGGGCGAAAATGCCTTGTTGATGCTGGAGGTCAGAGGAGAATGGGCCGACTGATTCAAGCTGATAGAAGAGCAACTTTGACTGAAATAACCACTCGTTGCAACCGAGGTATGCAGCAAAGCATTTGTGAAGCCACAACACGCACAACCTTGAGGCAGATGGGCTACAACAGCAGAAGACCCCACCGGGTACCACTCATCTCCACTACAAATAGGAAAAAGAGGCTACAATTTGCAAGAGCTCACCAAAATTGGACAGTTGAAGACTGGAAAAATGTTGCCTGGTCTGATGAGTCTCGATTTCTGTTGAGACATTCAGATGGTAGAGTCAGAATTTGGCGTAAACAGAATGAGAACATGGATCCATCATGCCTTGTTACCACTGTGCAGGCTGGTGGTGGTGGTGATGTAATGGTGTGGGGGATGTTTTCTTGGCACACTTTAGGCCCCTTAGTGCCAATTGGGCATCGTTTAAATGCCACGGCCTACCTGAGCATTGTTTCTGACCATGTCCATCCCTTTATGGCCACCATGTACCCATCCTCTGATGGCTACTTCCAGCAGGATAACGCACCATGTCACAAAGCTCGAATCATTTCAAATTGGTTTCTTGAACATGACAATGAGTTCACTGTCCTAAAATGGCCCCCACAGTCACCAGATCTCAACCCAATAGAGCATCTTTGGGATGTGGTGGAACGGGAGCTTCGTGCCCTGGATGTGCATCCCACAAATCTCCATCAACTGCAAGATGCTATCCTATCAATATGGGCCAACATTTCTAAAGAATGCTTTCAGCACCTTGTTGAATCAATGCCACGTAGAATTAAGGCAGTTCTGAAGGCGAAAGGGGGTCAAACACAGTATTAGTATGGTGTTCCTAATAATCTTTTAGGTGAGTGTATATTATGAACATTTGGAGACAAGCAATACAGGGCTAAAAGTTATGATGTGTACATGTTACCTTTGTTTAAGGCCCTGAATTTCTGTGGCTTCTGGAATGACATCAAGATGCTCATCTCTGTAAAGAATAACCAGAGCAAGTTGTGTATATCCCACATATGCTCATTCAACAGTAGATATAGACCACAAATAAAATAAAATTACACACTAATCATAAAGTTCATGTTTCTAATCAAAGATATTAGGACAAAATTAATACACTGCTCAAAAAAATACAGGGAACACGTAAACAACACAATGTAACTCCAAGTCAGTCACACTCCTGTGAAATCAAACTGTCCACTTAGGAAGCAACACTGATTGACAGTCAATTTCACATGCTGTTGTGCAAATGGAATAGACAACAGGTGGAAATTATAGGCAATTAGCAAGACACCCTCAATAAAGGAGTGCTTCTGCAGGTGGTGACCACAGACCACTTCTCAGTTCCTATGCTTCCTGGCTGATGTTTTGGTCACTTTTGAATGCTGGCGGTGCTTTCACTCTAGTGTTAGCATGAGACGGAGTCTACAACCCACACAAGTGGCTCAGGTAATGCAGCTCATCCAGGATGGCACATCAATGTGAGCTGTGGAAAAGTGGTTTTACTGTGTCTGTCAGCGAAGTGTCCAGAGCATGGAGGCGCTACCAGGAGACAGGCCAGTACATCAGGAGACGTGGAGGAGGCCGTAGGAGGGCAACAACCCAGCAGCAGGACCGCTACCTCTGCCTTTGTGCAAGGAGGAGCAGGAGGAGCACTGCCAGAGCCCTGCAAAATGACCTCCAGCAGGCCACAAATGTGCATGTGTCTGCTCAAACGGTCAGAAACAGACTCCATGAGGGATCCTCAGACCCCTTGTGAGACCACATGCTGGTGCAATTCGCCCTGGGTTCCTCCTAATGCAACACAATGCTAGACCTCATGTGGCTGGAGTGTGTCAGCAGTTCCTGCAAGAGGAAGGCATTGATGCTATGGACTGGCCCACCCGTTCCCCTGACCTGAATCCAATTGAGCACATCTGGGACATCATGTCTCGCTCCATCCACCAACATACACGTTGCACCACAGACTGTCCAGGACCTCATCAGGAGCATGCCCAGGCATTGTAGGGAGGTCAAACAGGCACGTGGAGGCCACACACACTACTGAGCCTCATTTTGACTTGTTTTAAGGACATGGGCCTGTAGTGTGGTTTTCCACTTTGATTTTGAGTGTGACTCTGAATCCAGACGTCCATGGGTTGATAAATTTGATTTCCATTGATAATTTTTGTGTGATTTTGTTGTCAGCACATTCAACTATGTAAAGAAAGGAGTATTTAATGAGATTATTTCCTTCATTCAGATTTAGGATGTGTTATTTTAGTCTTCCCTTTATTTTTTTTGAGCAGTGTATATTGTTATGCATGACTTACTGGTCTGCTCCACTAGAAGCACCAATGCTGGAGCAGGGACTTGCAAAGGTTTTCTCTTCAAGGGAGTCGATGTTGCAGGACCTGTCTCGTAGCTGGAGAAACAACAGCAGCATCAATAAACGAAGTGCTACATGACACAGTCGCATACGACTGTAATACATTACTGTACTGTAATCCACAATGTGTTACATCTTTGTAGGGTTTACTCATCTGGCCTAATAAACTGAACATCCCAAAAACTATCACATCTAGTGCAAGTATGATCACTGACAGACAACATGGAAAACGTAAGCCAAGAGTGTGTAAAAATGTCCCTGTTTCTGTACCACACAGTCCATTATAAACCACATCATGGGTAAGTTTACAAAGCCATAGTCAGGTGAGGATCAAGGGTGCTCTACAATATAATATAACACAAATAAGTACTGACAGCCATAATTTCAGCTTGTGGTAACCTTTGTATGCACTGTAGAAGCAATACAAACAAATACGTTGTTTCTAATGCAAATTCTGACAATAAGCATAATTAGTCACTTGATAGGCACACAGTGTTGTTATCGTAATGCTGTTAGCAGTAAAAATAAATGTTTTCCACCAGGGCAGTAAACATTTAGCTTGCTAATCTGAGCCACCTGCTCCATGCAATGTTACGGTTTTATAGCTAATTGTAATCATCAGCTGAATGTCTCACAATCATAAAAGACACATTTCTGTTCACTAAACGAAGCTGAAGCGCTGGAGAACAACCTTCGAAATAAGGTAAAAGTTTAGCTGGCTAATATGAGCTGTTATGCCGTAGTCTAACTTGCTGTTTCAATAATACCAATCAGCTGATTGTCTCACAAACGTAACCAGCACATTTATCCCCACATAGCAAAGCCATAACACAGTGAGGGAGAAGAACCACATGAAACTATCCAACTACATATTTTACACCACTGACAAGGGAAAAGTCACTTCTCAGTGTCTATGGCTAGCTTCTGGCTAATGCTAACACTATCGCTAACACTATTTCATTTGCAATGCTAAAGTTGGAATACCTTACCTGTCCAGCAGAAAACTGGCAACTTCGGCGTCACTTTGAAAACATTTTTCCCTCATTAGATCCTTCTATCTGGGAAAAGCCACACCGATGTTAACCCATGATTTCTGCCTGCGTCGCTCCCAGATAAGTCTGGCTCCATCATGCTTTCATCAAGCAGATTCACCCTCCGTCGGCTCTTGTGCTAAATAATAGCTGTGGTCCTCCATTTGTACAAAATTCCACTACTAATAAAGGAGAGCTTCTACTACTACCTAGTAGTTAGAAACGTACAACTTCTTCTTCTGCTGCTGCTCCTGCTACTAACTTCTTCTGCTGCTACTTCTTCTGTTGCTTCTCTTTCAAGGTAGTGAGGAAACGCTCTCTGTAGTGCTGTTTGTTCGCTGTAGGCTACGGTAGAAACATGATGACACAATATGTCGACCTCCACAGCAGGGGGTGCTGCGGTGTATGTAGATATAAATAGCTCATTCTAAGGTAATGAAAAGGGTTCATTATGCAAGGTCTTTATACACCACTGAAAACATAGTTATGGATATTATATTGCATTTCTGTCAATAGATCCTCAGAAATATTACACACTGAACCTTTAACTAATTTATGATATATTAAGTTGTTGCAGTTAAACTGCCATGCTTTTAATTAACACCTAAAACACTGCTGAGCATGCAACTGTGTGTACACGTTGTCACAGTTAGCCATGGTTTTCGTTCACTTTTGGCGTCATGCACCACCATGCACCTGGAACGCTTTGATGTAGGAAGTCGGAAGTTTCAACTGGGAAATATCCCAGTCTCTAAAGCAGCATAACTCCTTCTAAACTTTCTACCAATCATAACACTCTTCCAGGGACAGCATATCCACACTGAAGATACTATCAGTCATCGGCTGCTCGACCTGACTTAGTGGGCGGGCCACAACACGTTGATTGACAGTTAAGGAAGAGGAAGGACAAAAGCAATACACATAGGTCTATAAGGGAAAAGCAATGACAATAGGTCTCCTTGGGGAAAGGCAAAAGCAAATGTATGTATTTATTCTTTTATTCATTCATTCTTTCTTTGATATATTTCTGCATTTATTTATTTATTCTTTTATTCATTCATTCTTTACTTGATATATTTCCCCATTTATTTCCCTATTATTTTAGTCATTCATTCATTCTTACATATATTTCCCCATTTATTTATTTATTCTTTCATTCAGTTCTGACACTTTGGATGTTCCATACTTAAGAACATAAGGAGCATGTTCAGGTCGAGGACAATAAATCTATATGCTTTATACCCCCCTACCCAATTTAGGGTGCAGGGAGGTGAGAGTGCATCTGTTGTGTCCATATGTGCTAGGCTAACGTCCTATGTAGAGCACACAGCCCCCATTCGTTGCACTGGTCAGCTGTTTGTCTGTTCCAGTGATAGTGCAGTCAGTAAAACCCTGTCCAAGAAGAGCCTGGCCAGCTGGCTTTGTGAGTGAATCTCCCAAGCCTGCACACCAGGTTGGTGTGTTGGACTTTGGCTTGTCGCAGCTACGGTGGACAGTCATCGGGCTCCACCCACTGTACCCATAGAGTCCAGTAGAGGGTGGAGCCTGTGTGAGATAGAACGAAGGTTACAATATGGTAACCCTAGTTCTATAAGCACAGGCGAAGCCCTCTACCGATGAGCCCTGCCGCTCGGACGCCGTATGCTGAAGAGGCGGTCAGATGCTGAGGCAGTAGGGACACTGCTATTTATACGTCACGCACGTATTGGTAGCGGCATCCTATTGGTCGATTACGTGCACGATAAAATTTCAGTGGGCAAGTGCGTGCGTGTGATTGGAGGAGGTAGTACCCATAGAGTCCAGTAGAGGGCTCCGCCTGTGCTAATAGAACTAGGGTTACCAAATCGTAACCTTTGTTACTATATGAAGTGCACCACTAGAGAGCCACAAGGAAGAGGTCTTTCCTTCTCTGCAGGCTGTGTGCTGTGCTCTGTTACCGATGTTTGCTTAACATGCTGCACCATCAGGGCCATTGCACCAACAGATCCTGACCGTTCTCCCCTTCTTATCCGAAATTGTTGAATGAGCAGTGAATTTAGCATTTTACTGTTTTCCTGAAAAACATCTCCACCTAGATCAGCTCTTTTTATATTCGTATCCTCTCTGATTTGTCACATTTGTAACCAGAAAAACAAACAGCGGGCTCATTTTTAATGTCTTTGTTTTTATTGGACTATATGCATCTACACACCACTTACATTAGTGTATAATTGATGCAGGAACCTCTATATGTGAAGTAACGGTTACAGAAATAAAACAGCGCTTGCTATTTTGAATCTAGACATTAAAATTACCAGTGATGTCACACAGTAGGATGGCACAACAAATATCAACTGGAAAGTTAGAGAACTTTTATCAAGAACAAGGGAGAGAGAAAGATAATACACAAATACGTATTGGTACTTACTGATGAGTCATTTCAATTCAAAAATACATTAAGCATCAGATTAATTTTTGTCAAAAGCGATGATTTTGTCAAATTCATTTCCCTTCTTTCTAAAAGTCTAAAGCAACTTCAAGTCAAGGCATGAGAGTGCCATTTTTAGTCCGAGTGACAAAGGCACAGAACAACAGAAGACATCTACAGTCCAAAATTAAATTCATAACAATTATGACAATCTGCAACATAGTGTACATAAATCTGGTCAAACACTAACATACAGAATAGGACACAATATTTGCTTATTTGTCTGAAGATTTGACACAATATCTATATTTTACACTCACACAAAACCCATACCTGATGTGATGTGTTCACATGAAGAGGTAATGTGATGTTGTATAAGTAGTTCATACATAAACATTTACAATATACAAGATAAAATATCAGTTTTATTGCCAGAACGATTCTCACTGTGTCATACATTTCCTCTTCTGATATAGCTTTGATAAACTTTTAAGATAAAAAGAGAAAAAAAATATACAGCCTTTTGTAAAACTTGTCAACTTTGACAAATATTTGTTAAAGAAAACATTCCGAAAAATGATTCTTAACAGATCAGAGAAGTGAATGTAAGTGCATGGCATTAATACACACAAGGGCTTGTATCTGAACGTCCAGTAAACCTGGAAATCATACATCAGAAATCTGATATTTTTGTTGTATATTTTTTGTGTTAGTTTTATACAAAACAGAATGCTTACATTCATAATAAAATCACAGATTTAATGTATCACTTTTCCAAGTAAGAAAATATAACCATGTTATACTTTAAACTTTAAACAATATGTTGTTTTGGTGGTCCATGTAAAAGCCAGAAAACAACATTTTTTATGATATGTTAAATTACTGTTCACAGCATACTAGTATTAGTAAAGTATTTAGGATTTCGATACCGTCTGCACGTCCACCAAAATTCACAGGAAAATACTGAGATTCTTTTTTGCAATGATCACTTTACAAATTGCATAATTATTTGAATACATCTATCATAATTCAAAAATTGATCTGACATACATAGAACGCACATTTATTTCTAGTTTGATGTACATGCAAGTGTGCTGTCTGAATTACATATATGCTTCATTCTCATTTGCTGTAAGTATTATAGCTCTAATCATGTCATGACTGAATTTATTCACAGCTTGTAGCTCAGGTCATATGGGCAACTCAGTTGTCTTTCACTCACTAAACTAATTTTGCTACCTGTTACAGATGCACAGATTTGAAATATGCAGCAACATTGTGCATGTATCACTGGCAGACTGAGTATGAAACATGTTTTACATGTGTTATGTGATGGTCAAAAGATCAATATTTGTCATGAAGTCTGGGTTATTTGCATAAATACCCATGCGCACACTCTTGTCTGATATTTCTTCAAAGGATTTTGTGATTTCTATCTGTGCCTTTTATGTGGACTTGACTCCTCACTTCACTTTAGTTCAGTTGTTCAAAACAATCCCAAGTTGCTCAGCCAAGGAGACTCACTCTGAGTTTTAAAACAAACCCCGTGTCCATGTGTCATTCAATCCCTCTCTTTTCCATCCATCTTTTCAGCAGTGCTTTCCTATGTGTTCCTGTGCTTGTTCACCATTTTATTCCAATTGCTGGATTCTTTGTACTTTACACTGTTGTGTGGTGTAAAATCTGGGAAATGTAATGTGTCCGGGAAGTGTTCTTTTTATGTGTTTGCTTGTAAATATCATGTGCCTTTACTTCAGTTAGAGCTGAGCTGGGACTTGTTAGATAATAACATGATGCTTGACAAAATATTAAAGGGTTAATATTTGTAGCATCTACTAAAAGTAACACAGCAGTGCACAGATATAATTTCATGACACCCTCTGCGTGTTGTCCTAAAGCTGTATGTAACTTCACAATATTTTAACAAGACCAAGAGTTTACAGCCACGCTAGGGGCTCTACTTAGACATAGCTGTGCTATGAACTAAATGCTGATGCTGGCATGGCAACACCTTCACAGTGATAATACTAGCGTGTTGATGTTCAGCAGGTATAATGTTTATCGTGTTTACTGTGACACAGTTTCGCAGTCTAGCATGCTAACATTTGCTGAGGAACACTAAGGAAGAAAAAGTACAGCTGAGGTTGATCTGAATGTTTTTGGTTTTACAGGTATTTGTTCATAAACCAAAGTGCTAGACAAATAAAAAAAATTAACCTGATGATGACGCTAGATGGAAAGTCAGGGGATCACCAAAGTTATTACAATGATCCTGAGGGGTAGGCCTACATGTCTGAAGCAAATTCCAAACAACATTTGAAGCAAAAGTCAACCTTATGGTGATGCTAGAAGAAAAATCAAGGGATCACCAAAGTGATTGGGATACATCCTCTGAGGACCATGTAATGCCTGTACCACATTTAGTGTCATCCTTCCAGTAGATGTGAAAACTTTGATCAGCTGGTGGCCTTACAGGAAAAGTCTACATCAGCAAAGTCAGGAGGATTCATTCTCTGGGAACAATGAATATCTAGCTGTTGAGATATTTCAGTGGTAAATTGACCGACTGACAGAGCGGCATTGCCATCCCTAGAGCCGCTGGCATGGCTAACAAGTTGTCAAAATACTTACAAAATACTATACAGATTGTAAGTCAAGAATTCATCAAGTGTTCATTGGTAGTCCAGTCTAGCGTTTTGAAGTAGTGGGCCTACTCTTTTGTTAAGATTTAGATCACAGATGCTGGTTTAGCAAAGTATATTAAACAGGATGGGAGTTACTTGGTACTAGAATAAGCAGAGACTTAAGAGACACATAATGCATTACCCAGTCATTTTATCCTCACGATTAAGTGAGTGATTTTAAACTCCTTAATATGTAGCTCACCAACACTTTTGTATTGCTTAATTACTATCATCAGTATATAATTGGGTACTTTCCGAATGACAGTTCTCATGAACAACATGAATTGTTTTTTTATATATTAGACACAGCACAGCTATTACTACAGCACATACTGTACACTGACAAATTGAAGTCTTCTAGAGTCTGCGCTCCTTATCTTATTTCTTAGAAAACATGAGAAATTTGAATCAATGAAATGCTACGGTTCTAGGATACTAATCAGCCCTTGACATGTCTTTCTTTCATTATTTCTGTTTTACCATGATATACTATGATGACATCATTTCATCCATTAGAGAGAGAAGCTGTGATAGCATCACCGTGGGTGTTGAAAACATTGAACAAAACCAAAAACAAGTCAAGTATTTTGGTTAATATTTGCTTTTTCATTGTCTTTCCTTTGATTTCTTTGTAACCAGCTGGAAACAAGTATTTACTTCATTCCTCTGCGGAGCATTTGATTTGCTGCAATGAGCATAACACTGATGATAAATGCAATGGCAAAGGCACAAATCAGGCTTTTACGCACACACGTGTGTTTTTCCTGTTGTGTTGGGCTTGCTGTGGAAAGAAAAAAAGTATTAGCGCATCTAAGCAGTGGTGGATGAAGTATTCAGATCCTTAACTTAAGTAGAAGTAGGCTACTAATACCACACTGTAAAAATACTCTGTTACAAGTAAAAGTACTGCATTGAAAATGTTACTTAAGTAAAAGTATAATTAGTATAATCAGCAAAATGGACTTAAAGTAAAAGTACTCAGTGCAGAATTAAAAATGTTCCCTGTGACTTTTCTATTATATATTTTACCATTAGATTATTATTACTCATGTGTCATGCAGGATTAACTATGGATTAATCTGCTAATTATTTTATCCATTAATCAATTAAAAAAATTCTGAAAATTGTGAGAAATGTTGTCACAATTGCTCAGAGCCCAAAGTGACACCTTCAATCTGCTTGTTTTGTCAGTCCAAACTTCAAAATTATTAAAGAGGTGGTATTATTCTTTTTGGCTTTTTCCTCTCCGTTATTGAGTTATATATCTTTTTTGTGCATATAACAAATTTGCAAAGTGAAAAAGCCCAAAGTCCAGCCCAAAGGGACTTCCCCTCTCCCACAGAAAGCTCTGAACCACTTGAAAACAGCTCCTTTGTAGTTCAGCCCTTCACTTCCTTTACTTGTGACGTCACAATTAAAAAGGGGCCTAATGCTTGCCAAGCCACTAGCGGGGTCAGGCACGCCCTCAAACCAAGCTAGTCTGAGCAGAGGCCCTTTGGCTCGACTCGCCTTTGTTTGGTTTTCCATTGTAGAAATGTTGTACCTGTACCTGCTTCCAGGTACTTTTTTTCGTATCACCTCACCTCCATCAAGGTTCCAAGCGAGCTGAGGGATACTAAAATGTAACGTGAAAACACAACAGACTGCTGATTGGTCAGAGAGAATATTCACTATTCACTGCATCATCATTGTGTGCACCAGACAGAGGCCAGCACGCGGGAGGAGCGTGTGAGGCCGGCCAGCCGCCCGCTCACAGAGCCCTCTGCTCCCGCCGTCACACAGACCGCTGCAGCAACATCGTCAGAGGAAAACATAGCTGGAAGGTTTTCATACCGCTTATCTGTCTTTACATTCTGAGGAATGTTGAAACGTTTTAACTTAAAAAAGAGAAAGCTGTGTGGATCGCTGGTGTGTGTGTCGCATTGAACATTATGTCGCGGCAGTTGTGTGTGGCGTCGCTATGACAACAAGCTACGTACTATCTCTGGGTTCTATCTGCAATGGAAAACGGAGCAGGGCCGAGTAGAGTCGAGTCTATCGATTTGCGCTATGGTAGCATTTTTCGGCAAGGCAGCACAGATCGTCAGAACACCGGCAACAGTTCAAGGTTTAGTCCTAAAAGACGATGCAACTCCGACTCTGTTTGGGCCTGGAAATTCACAATCACAACCTGTAAATATGCTTTATTGGTTGTGAATTATATTTAACATTAACACAGCAATGTAACTTCACAGACTGTTCAAGTGCGGAGTTGTTGTAAACGTTGGCTAACACAGCTAAAGTTATAATACTAATGTTACACCTGATGTGAAAGCGACTGAGCCAACGTTCAAATTGTTTGGCCAATTTTTATGTAAAATTGAGTTGAAATATGGTGATTTTTGTAGTGGTCTATGGTAAGATGTGGAACAATGATGTTGTGTGGTTGTGGACTTGTGAGTAACTTAAACCATCTGTAAGGTTACGGTCGCAGTCTGAAGCGGCTTTGATTTGGATCACACTACCTTGTTTCTTACTTCTCTGAGATAATACCACCTCTTTAAAATAATCAGAAGGAAAAGCAGCAAATCTTCACATTTATGAAATATTTTACATGAAAAATGACTTAAACAATCATCAAAATATTTGCCAATTTAAATTTCTGTCAATCAGCTAATGTACAACCTGTACATGTATAAACTGTTGGGTGGTTTCATTTGTAACAAAACATTATATTTTTTAAACTCTTCATATGTTTTAGGTGTAAAAATCTTAGTTTGTAAAGTAACTAGTAACTGAATCTGTCAGATAAATGTAATGAAGTAGAAAGTACAATATCTCCCTCTTAGATATAGTGGAGTACAAGAAGCAAGAAAAGAAAATACTCTTGTGCACGTATCTCTAATTTGCACATAAGTACAGTACTTGACTAAATGTACTTAGTTACTGTCCACCACTGCATCTTAGTGTCTTAATGGAGCTTGAAAAATGTCTAAACAATGTGTGAAATAAAATCTGCATGCGACATACTATCAATGTCCACATGGGACTCAGGACTGTTCAGGTGGCTCTCCTCTGTCATGATGATGTTCTCGATGTCTTTCATGGTGAGGTGGTCACGGAAGGTATCGTAAAGCAGTCTCTTAAGCTCATCCACAGTCAGTTTCTGCATGTCACACTGGGGAGACAGAAAACACCAAGAAAGACTTTATTAGCGGAGGACAAACTTCTGTCTCAACGCCCCTCAGTGACACAGATAAGCTGTAGTTCAGCAATAAATAGTGGTAGCACAGGGAAGCTCCTGGCTATGAATGTTAGGAGCTATGAGAATATCCAGTGGGCTAATTCAAAACAATAGACATTTTCATTTAAATCAGACAGTGATCTAATGTATTTGATTATACAAAATAATGCAAGGAATGAAGACACTGCATGTGACGTATGGAAATTATGAGAGTGGTGCATCAAGGCCATTTGAAGGTCAAGGAATTAACTTGTTAGAGAAAACACAGAGAAGGAATATAATAAATAATGCACAATAATGCTAGAATTAGCTGTTTAAATTACATCGGTAAGTGTTGTATTGTAATTTTAATTGAAACAGATGGCTCTTTATCACAAAACAACAGAAAAGCCAGAAGGACAGAGAATGGATTAATGAACACGATAGAAGGAAAGGTATAGGCTTGATTAGACCTGACTGATGATACCGATGACAATGTATACCTTCCAAAACACTGAATCAAAGTCTGCTCCGTGGAACTTATCAGGCATCCCAGCAGAGGAGAGTTTTGGACCAAGCAATGTGACAAATTCTTCAAAGCCAACTTGACCATCACCTGATGACAGAAATACGAACATGTCACTGTGTAGCTCATGTGTTGGATTATAAGCAACAGCCTGTGTTCTTTCGAATTGCTGACCAAGAGAGAGAGAGTGAGACAGAGGACCCTACCATCTATATCAAGTCTTTGGATGATAACCTCCAGCTCCACTTCATTGGGCATGTAGCCCAGTGAGCGCATGGCCATCCCCAGCTCCTGCTTTGAGATGAAGCCATTCCCATCTCGGTCAAATACTTTGAAAGCCTCACGAATCTCTGTGGGAAGAAGGACGGCAGAAATTATGTTTAAGAGTGGAGAGGAAGGAGGCACAGCGCAACAGGCATGTTCATATAGATTTATCACTTGCAATTTCACACTGAGCAGCAGCAGCAGCAGCAGCAGCAGCAGCAGCAGCAGCAGCAGCAGCAGCAGCAGCAGCAGGCTGGATCAGTTGAACAAGGTGACTTGAAATATGTGTGTACACAATGTTTATATTAAGAGTTTAAAGTAATTAAAACAGTTACAAATTGTGTGTCTGTGTTGAACAAAGAATTTCATAGCTCATATATATATGTATAATCTCTGTTTGTTTGAAGTTTATGTTTTGAGAAAAGGCAGACATTCCTGAACATTTGTTTGAGGAGTAAAAATTGCAGGAATGAGAGCAGCTTAAAACTTTTTTTTCTTGTTACAAATACTGCAGAGGCATTAAAGGATAAGTCTGGTGATACAGTGATATTTTATATTTTTTATAGTCAATAATTCCCACAAAAACACCCAAACCAGCAATGATCCTATTAACAAATATCACCTGTGTAGCCAAATCCTAAAATACTGTAGCTTCTTCCTCTGAGAGAGCTCCATCATCATCAGTCATGTTCCTATGATGAAAAATTATTTTGAGTAAATCCCTGCATACACTGTCCTGCTGCTGTAAATGCTACGACTATGGCACAAAATCTGCTGCTGAAAATAGTCCCCAGCAAGTGCACTGTTTACTAATAGGATTTTTAGAGATTTAGGTCTTTTGCATGTAGGAACAAATGGGTTTGGGTCTGAGAGTAACAGATGATAGGGGAGTCTGAAATGGTCCAGCAATTATAAGTAGCATACAAACATTTAATAAATGGATTATAATACACGATAATGTAGTTGTACCAAGCTATAAGGTCTGTTTATTGAGGTTCAGTAGTTGTAAGCAATTAAATCTTCTCCCATAAAAACTTATTTTATACTATTAAAACTAGGTTTTATGATATTATCATCCAGTATGTCATTATTCACTAGCCTCCACTAATGGGTGCTCACAGGAGGAGTTACTGCCAAAAGTCTTCTTCATTCAAAGGTCAATCTTCATTAAGAGCAGGGACAGAGTTTGATCGCTATAGCACAATGGACAGACACTGCATATGAATGTTTTAGCACCACAGAGGAAGAGGGAGAGAGGGAGGGAGCGAGAGATTGTTATTATTATTATGATGATGATTGGAACAATATTAAAGCGTCATACTGTTACTATAGCAACAATGTTCTTATTGTCATGGTTGTTATATTGTTTATTTATTTATTTATTTTATTTTAATTTTTAATACATTTTAATTTTTCTAACACAAACACACATACACTTTAATTACTTTATGCTTTAATTACTTGTTTAATGAAATGTATGGGGTTGATTGTTCTTATGTAGATTGTATGATGCTTTGGCAATATTGTTGTTACACATTCATGCCAATAAGCTAATTTGAATTGAATTGAATTGAGTGAGAGAGGCTGTAGTTGAATGTTTCAGCACCATGGAGAGAGACTCTGTTTGTTGAATTGCATGTAAATTGCAGTTTTTCACAATTTCTAAGACACATTTCTTGAAACTGTCACCCATATTCTCAAAACTTTAAACACAAAACCCAATCTTTAAACTACATTCACAAAACCCCTGACTCTTCTGGCAAAATCAAACACTTGCCTCAAAACCATTTGATTAGTGCTCAAAATCAAACAATGCTTTCAAAACATAAACACAGCCGGGGCATGTATTTACAGAAAATGTTTTTTTGCGTATAGGAAACACATTTTCCAATTTAAAAAGTCTAGTAATCACAACTTAGTACAGTAAATATATAGTGTACTGTAAGTTTTGCAAGTAATACAGTATTGAATATCTGTATTTTCAAATACAGTAAGCACAAAGAACAAAGAAAACTATAAATGAAAAGCACATTACACTCAATAATGTTTGTGCAACTGCAGTAACAAAGTCAATACAGAAAGACTTCGTTCACATCACATGCAACCTTGTCCCTTGCCAAGCAAAGGAGGAAAACCCTCGGAAGTGCTGGACGCAGCCTGACTGTAACAACACTCCACACCTATCTCACCACAGGCCAATTCCATTGCCCGTAAGAGATTTTCTGTAGTAAATGAGTTCCGGTCATAGACCTTCCAACATCAGGCAGAGAAAAATTCTTCTTTTGGATTGAAGTAAGGGCTGCATGGTTGAAGCTAATCATTTATGAATCACCGGTTGCTTGTTGATATTGAACCACTTGTTTAGCGGGACACCACAGTGAAAGTTGACATTGTCCCATAGACAGGATGTGCAAATAAAGTAAGAAGATGTTCAGTGTTACATGGCCCCAAGGTTGAATGAGGGTAGAGAAACTGTCCCTTACTTATAGCTTGGTCAAAGGGTGACATTGCCACTATGCTGGCCAGGGACTTGACCACAATTTGGTTTGATCACATCATTAGAAATAAGTGTGAAGAGTTATGAGTTGTTTTGTGTAAAAGATGACAGCTGTGTTTCAGTTTTGTTTAACTTTTGCTGCATGTATTTACCATTTTGCAACACAAGTGCATCACAGTGCAAAATGTGTTTTAGTGAGTGAGAATTTGTTTAGAGTTTTGCAAAAAGAGTGGATGAGATTTGCAAACAGTGTCTTAACTACCTGAACTTGTTTAAGGTTTTGCTTAAAGAGTGACTGATTCGACAAATGGGTTTAGGCCATTGAGCATTGGGTTCAGAGAATGGTATTTAGTGTTTTAGCAATTGTGAAAAACTGAAAAATTTAATATATTCTGTTTCAGTTTTATATTCAACACAAAGGTAGGGCAGTTTATAAGTTATCAAATGGTACTTATATGAAGTCACTTGGCATATTATATTATAAAATTTCTTTCCGCTGACATCATATGGTGCAAATTCCTTGTTTGCTATAGATGTATACTAATAAGCACATTCAAAGCCAACACTTTTTACTATGACCATAAAACAATAGGCTGTGACAGAAGGCAGTGAGCAGGTTCATATGTTTATAATTAACTACAACTTTGGTAAATAATCCATAAACATTGCCATTTGGCTCCTGTCCTCACGCTACATCACAGTATTCTGTTTGAAGTGGTAAAAATAACAGTTGCACATCAAAGGCACAGAGCCTCTGTGGTTCTTTTTGATGTAGATCCTCATATATACAAGATTCTTCAATGCTTGTTTGGTTAGTCACCTTTAAAAACAAGACGGGCAATTAAAAAATGTTTTTACCTGTAGGATATGAATGTATACATCAACAATGCTTGCCTAATGTATTAGAAGCAGAATGGAAATGGAAGTAAATGAACATTGGAGTTAGCTTAAAATTGGCAGTAACAAAACCTTGAATACTGCTGCTAAACCGAGAGCTTAGTATGGAACTTAATTTGAACTTCATATTCAACTTGCAAATTTCTGCCTGATCAGAAACTGCTAAAATAGCAACACTATATTTCAATGCCAACACTTATAAGTGACTAAAACACATCTCGTTCATTTTAATTGAATTTAAAATCATTGTTAAAAGACTAGTGCGTGATCATTCTCTGTAACTTATTCAAATAAACTTAAGCATGCTTCATTTCATGTTGTATGCAAGACCCTTAACCCCTAGTTGCTCCAGGGGCATGCAACCCCTGACATATATAGCAATTGTAAGACAATTGGATAAAAGCATCAGCTAAATGGATAAATGTAAATGTAATTGCTTAAACACATTTCTTGAAATTATGCCTCTTTTTCTCGAAACTCTAAACAGAAATCCACAACTTCTCACCCAATTCCCCAACATCCTATTTTCAGGTCAAAATGAAGCTCTCCGCTCAAAACCATTCGGTCTTGCTGAAAAACCAAACTTTGTCCTCTGATATGACACACAAGCCCTCAAAAACACACACACACACACTAGAACACAATTTTTTCACACTGGTGAGATCAATTCAAAACAATACTGCAAAAACTGGTTATTAGTAATGTTTCTTGTGATTCTCCAGCTCAAAAACCTTTTCACATGATGAACACAACAAAAAGAATAACAAATGTAAATATTTGCACATTTTTTGTTCCTTAGTGTGCTGTACAGTACAACACACCTATTTTGCCCCAGCGTCCTGTCTTTGGTCTGGGGCAGGCCAGAGATTCTTGTTATCCACCCCCTCCTACTCCTCATCTTCCTCCAATCCCATCTCCTGCTCCAACTCCCACTGTTCCTCTTCCTTCACCTCTTACTCCTCTCCATACTGCTCTTCCTCATTCTACTCTCTGCTCTCTCCTCTATGTCTTCCTTCAGATTTCTCTGGATCCATTGTTCCAAAAATGAATGAACTGACTCTGGTCCTTTTATCTGTTGAAAGTTCTGATTGGTCTGTCAATTTTGACTCTTTGTGTTTCCACCTTGGTAGCTGTGTGCTAATTGAGCTCAACATTTGCTGACTTGAGTGAACAATATTGAATATCAATGCTTTCTCAATGACCAGATGGTGTAGGCAATGAGAAATGAAGGGATTTGTGTGTAGAGTTTAGAGAAATGGGTGTGCTTTTTGAAAAATGGAGTTATGGTTTTGAAATTTTAGTTCAGTAGCCTGCTTATAGTGTTCAAGCAATTGAGAAAAAGTGTCAAAGCATGTTATTATGCTTCTACCACAGAGAAAACCAATTTGCATTTGAGTATGTGATTGAGCAAGCAACACCTGTAATTAGCATGCAAGCCCACGAGTGTACAACCATTGACCATTCATCTTGTGTACATTCGTTTGACTGAGATACAGCAGTTTATAAGTGATAGCCAACATTGCCAGTCTATAGCCTTGTAGGAAACTACTTTAAGAGGCCAGTCATTAGCACATTCATTGGAGGTCCTTCTGAACAAGTGACACTGTACCAAACCTTGACACATCAGACCCGACATATTTGTCTAAATTACAGCCAGCAGTGCTGCTTGAGTTCTGTTATCTTCCTTCAGCA